ACCTACAACTGTCAAATTCAAGGGAATATTTTTTTTCGACCTATTTTCGTATGCAACCGGATGTGACGTACTATGATTTGGTGGTATTACACCTAAAGAAGACTTTTTTGTTAAATAAACTGAATGTGACTTTTTTCCTTTGTTATACTGGTTATTTCAAGCATTCCTGTCAAGTTTTGTCATAATCAGTTCAATAGTTTGAGAAAAATCTAGTATAATGTAAGATGACATCTGCAGCGATTCGAGCTAAATTTCTTCGAAAAATCCAAACCAAGCCGCATCATGATAGAATATAGTGTGGACCAATAAATGATCAAATATTTATCTCATCTGCCTACAAACAGTTGAATATGATACAAAAGATGACTTTAGGATGATAAATACTACCAATGGACCTCTTTGTCTTCCTTATAAGGTCTCTTCTGGTCCATTTATACCTCTCATTTCCTCAAAATTTCTACTTTATAGGCCAATAAATAAAAATTTTGGGGTAACTTTCACTCATTTATGATAGAAATGTTATAATAAATGATTAATTGAAGTATTCAAGCTGAATGAACTATCCGTATAAAAGTTTACTGTCTCCAAGGAGGTTTCAATAAGTCCTTACGTAAAACTTAAATTTACGCCGCGTTCCAGAGAGGGACATAAAAAGCTTCTCTTTTGGTGAATAATTTGTTGTTACTGCTTTAAAAATATTTTCATTTACTTAAAACTATATATTTATTAAAGTATTTCTTAGGAAAATTTTTTCTAGTATAGCAGAATATAAGAAAAAAGGAGAAAAAGCTCCCCAAAACTCTAAGTATGGCTTATTCTGTCAACTAATATTCATGGTAAAGTCCTATTTCAAGGAAATTTTCTCATAAAATGTGTTTTGGAGACTCAATCCACTCAGAATATTTCATTATTAGTAATATTTCACTTAAATAGCAAGAAATTTTAACACATGAGAGTACTCACAAGGTCAAAGGTGCATGTACAGCTTCCTATATTAGGTGTAATACCACCATTGATTTTCCCCTATTAGTCTTTGTTAAATTTGCACTTTTCAAAAAATTGTGCAGAATTTATCTTTGTTTCAAATAAAGAAATACTTGGCATGAGTAAAGTTTGATCCTGTCCAGTACTATAGAAAAAATTTCACATAACATTTCATTGCATATAAGAAAATAACCATCACTGGAAGTTAACCAATCAAATTTTCCCCCTTTTTTAACCTGTATACAAGCTTTAGTAACCATGTAACCTCAAGTTTCCAAAATATTCTATAGAAACCCCAAATAAAAAAATAATGGTGCTTTGAAATACCCAAGATATATGTTTATGACCCAGAAATGTTTTACTGCAATGAAATGTAGGATCAATTACCTACAACTGTCAAATTCAAGGGAATATTTTTTTTCGACCTATTTTCGTATGCAACCGGATGTGACGTACTATGATTTGGTGGTATTACACCTAAATACTATTTTATTGCTGTTTTTTTTTTATCTAAATGTTTTGTTTCTCTCTACAAAAATAAATTAATGTCAGACCACACACACACTACATAAAATAAAAATGCATATGTATAGTTCAATTTTTAACAATGTACATGTTTAATATACTTTTATTGCCAAATATTGCATAATTATTGATCGCCCTTTTTACAATGCATTTAAAAATATTTTATAAAAATATTAATTTTCTAGGCACTTCAAGGACATAAAGATGCCTTATTCTATAAAAGATGAATCACTATTCAGTCACTCAAAAAGAGTTTTGAAGTCAAAATGAAAATCCCTAAAAGCTATGGGTAAAGGGAACAAGAAACTTTAAGCTGATCCCTTGGAAAAGGAGGAAATTGATATGATGTATGAGAACAATATTTTAGGTGCTGGTAAGTAAATTTATAAATTAACATACATAATCCCATATACCATACAAAAATTCAAAGTAGGTTTGAAATATTTTAGTAAAAGTAAAAATAAAATAAAAGGGAAAATTCAAAATATGTACATGTTATAACATGAAACAGTAATATATATAAAATGTCTACTGGACAGTTCTTCAAATAGACCAATATATGTATGTGCAAGATGCAATTTTGATTACAAATAATGAAAAAGACATTTGTTGTTACAACTTTTATCCATGTGAATTTAATGCTTTACTTCATGTTATCATGTAATCCAGAATTCTTGCTTAATACTGTGTGGTTGAACAATGGTTTTTATTTTGGACTGAAGGGAGGCAAGATCATACAAATATGCTATGGGGTGATGTAGAACCAAAAAAAAATCTGTTTAAAAGGAATACTTGGAATTCACAGGTATTATTTTAAATTTAATGAAATATGTTGAACTATTTCTGTTGTTTTCATACAAGTGTATACATTTTGATTTAATTGAGTTTTGTCTTGTGCACATATATATACCAGTACATAAAAAACAACACCAAAAACATGAAAAAACAGTTTTTTTAGTAAATTGACCTAGGTAAAGAAACACATGTCTCATTCAAAAAAATTCATGTCTTAATATGACAAGTCAGTCACATACAAACCTCAGGTTTTATTCATTTATAATATAATTGTATCCTTTATTTTTTAGAGAAAAGCACTAAAAATAGGAGTGGTGTAAAGACAGGGGACTGCAGAAAAGTTTTACCTAAGGCATTTGCTGTCCCGGAAGATGAAAATTGTCCAGTAAAAATTTACAAGGCATATAGGGACCATCGTCCACTAGATATGAGGGATCCAGATAGTCGGTTTTATCTTAGACCTTTAAACCGTCCAGTTAAACCAATATGGTATTCAAAACAATGTGTTGGGAAAAACAAAATGGAAGTAATAATGAAAACAATGGCAGAGAAATGTGATCTTCAGGGTCGTAAAGAAATCATTCTTCTCGCAAAACTTTTGGGACAACATTATTAAATGGTGGAAGACCCTTGATAGAAGTTGCTGATTTAGGGGGATGGAAAAGTATTAAAAGCATTAAAAGTTATGTAACACCATCAATAAAAGAACAGTAGAAAGCATCTGACACTATCTCCAGTCTATTAATTCCTACAGAACCTAGTTCAACTACTTCAGAAAATTCATTAACAACCACCAATTCAACAGTAGATGTTGTGGCAGTTAATACTCAACTACAGTTCGTAAATGCTAATGATGGACCTATTGCTGCTTCGTCTAACTCATCTGGGGCATCTTTGAATATAACTTAACAATCGACAATAAATAACCTAAACATGCCAACATTTGATATGAGTAGAATCAATGGAATATTGTATGGGCAAATATTAGTAGTGGAACATTCAATTTTAATTTCAATACAAACAGTAAAATTTAAAGTGGCAATTGTTCTAAGTAAAGTTGTTAATCAAATTGTTAATGTTTGTTATGTTTGAATTTAAAATTAGATTTAACATATTATCTTTGCTCAGTATAATTTGCTTAGTTTCATTAAAATATTAACTGTGCAATTTGACAGTTTATACAAATATGTGTATATCAAAATACTGGTCCTAATATATGCAAATATGCATGTAATACAACATTAATAACAACTATATATTGAATAAGTTGGATTATTTAATAAAAGTGTTATGAACTGGCTGTTTCTGTATTGGCCCTGTTATAGATTCTCAGTCAGCTGTATTGGCCTTCGACCCTGCGGGTCTCGGGGCCAATACAGCTAACCTCGAATCTATAACAGGGCCAATACAGAAACAGCCAGTTAATAACACTATATTATATAACACTATTGAAGTAAATTTCTATATTTGTATTAGCACTTAACATGGCATTTCAGCAGGAAATATATAAAAGTTAAAGCCCAGAGTCACTTCCGGTGTCAAATATTAATAGCTTACTTTTTTCACTGATTCCACAAATGTATGGTTTCTGTATACTTTTGCTTGAGTTGCTAGGTTCTGGCATATAAAATTAGTGCAAACAATTACTTCTTCAAGTTCACAAATTTTCACTTCCGTTGACCGTTGTCAGGGTTATATTTCTGCAATCTAATGCAAAAGACCATATGACTTTATCTAGTTGACTTTATGAAGTTAGAGCAAAGCCTAAACTCTTGAACATCAAATTAACTATCACCTTGTTCTTAATTTCAAAGTCATAAAGTATGGATATCATATCTTACTATTATACATGGTTAATGAGCTATATCACGATACCATTAATTCTAATCTTACGAGGAGAGAAAACTCTATATAAATGTAAACGTATCCTTTCAACCAAAATGTATATGCTATGACATGTCGCAACCAACAATTTAGTTAAACTATTTTGTCGATATCTTATATAGTTTTTAAGAAGTATCGATAATAAATAAAGTTAGAACCTGTGACCTTGGTCTCATTTTTTGTTGGCGGACCAAGGACCTCAAACCAAAAGACAATAGATCTCTATCACTGGTTTACCAGTCACAAACACTTATTACTTATATCAAATAAAGAAAGGTAAATAACTCTTATATGGAGTCTCCAGATTGCTTCAGTCCAATTATTCACCAGCAATTGGAAACAAGAATTTTGTCGATATATCTTTTACGACTACGAAGCAGTAGTGATCACCAGAAACACAGTGTTCGGGTAAATAACGCAAAGAAAAGTGTTGTCAGTTTCAATAGTGTATAAACGATTCGATACCATATACCAAATATCTGACATCCATGTTCATAAACTGAGCTATTATACTGACTTTTGATGGAAAGCATTGCTGATACTTGTAGCATCCAAACTCATATTTCCTTATTCTACTTATATAAAAACACAACGTAAATTTACCCCGGTTTGGCTAGTCGACGAAAAATAATTGACGAAAAGGCACTTATCAATCAAGCAATAAAACTTTACACCATAGATTAAGATTAAGCAACATGATTGTGACCAAAAACCGTGCTTGAACCCGTTTGCCAAAGATGCACTTGAAATTCAAACGTTTTCATTAAAACTCCATGTTTAAAAAAGATGTCACTTTGAATGTTTTTTTACAGAAAATAAGTGACAACTTGGAAACTGTAATAGCTAGACAAAGCCAACTAGCAGATAAAACTGACATGGACAGATTGGTAAAGGTTATCAAAGAAATAGGAAATGGTATTATTTGCTATTAAATATATGTTAGAGATAATGAATATTGAAACAAAATAATCATTCTTATAGATTTGATTATTTGCTTCGCGTCCTTATTTCATAAACACTCAGGACGAGAACACGTTAACAATTAATACAATGGGTAGGTCCAACAAGCTAATGAAGTGAGGGTACTTTTTAATGTCCATTTGAAATAAGAATATGATAGATGGGAGCAGAAATTGGGCCTTCCAACCGGTCAACTACGGAAACAAAGCGGGCTGTTGCAAGGGATCTTTAACGTGCATAGAGCTTGGAACTCTCTCTACACAAAGCACGAATTTAACCGGACGTCGATGTGCAACCAAACGGACGTCCCGTTTAAAAATGGTCTTATGAATGCTTACTTTTGTTTACTAGTAGGCCTCATATAATAATGCATACAATTTCATTATGCTTAACACAGTGTCCTAAATATGGATGAGATACTTTCCGCTGAATGCACCAAATACTCACTTAACTGTTATACAGAATTGAGGCGTAATGGAGTTGATTTGTTTACAGCGCAAAATTAGATTTTCTTATTCATGTGTTATTAAAATACTAAAATATCTTGTTGCAATAAAATACTGCGATTTTCTCAGTAAAATATAAAAAAACGATAATTTCACATATGAAATAAAACCAATAATTTCGTTTATTGTTTAACAATATTTGAATTCTTCGATTAGTCATCGACAAAAACGACATAATCAATGTATCTTTTCCAGTTGTGGGGGTCGGGATGAGTGGTCCTTCTTTCTGTATTCTTTAATTTGTTTAGGCCATTTTTCTCTATTCTTTATACTGTTTGCCCATTATTCTCTATTCTGTAAACCCCGATCCACACCCTCATATGTGTTATAATGGATATGTAAATAAAAGCTTTGAAATTTATTTAAAGTCTGCAAGTTTTAATGAAAAAAAAAGTTTATTGTGTCATTTATGCTGTTGGAACTTTACAATTTAAAGTTTAACTCATATAAAATATTTTGAGATTTATTTCAGACATAACCCCTGAGAAAGCTACTTCTTATCTAGACGAGAACCCAGATTTTCTGGACGGATATATATCAAACAATGTGTCAGATGTTAAGATACTTGATTTATGCCGAAGGAAAGGAATTAATATCAGTAAGCTAGATCTCAACAGTAAGTATGACAATTTCTAGCATTTTATAAAAAGAAACTTTTGCGAAGGTTTGCCTGAATATAGGTTAAGGAATGGAAAGACTACATTGAACAATTTTAACCATTTTTTGTCTTCTCTTTAAAAGGCAAACCGAGGTTAAGCTTGGGAGCAATCAATCTGAAACATTTTACCATACATCGGCTAGTAGTAGTATAACTGATAGACTTACTAACTTTGATTTAACCAGACTCATATTTAGATCTATAGGTTGCACTTTGTAAATACAGCTGTTTCTCAAACCACGCCTCTTTTGGGGAGATATAGCATATTCATAGATAATTAATTTGTTACATACTGGTTTCCAGTTATGATCTCTAGGTTTCATCTCATAGAGACATAACTTGGGAATGTTACCAGTAAATATACATATGCATATTATCTATATAATAATCTGTGGTAATCCTACAGTCAAGGAAGGGATAGTTAAGAAATTTAGTGTTAGTTTATACTCTTAGAAGTTTGGGGCATATAAACGTTAAAAATATGCCGCACAGCCCTATATTTTGACCATAGAAAAAAATTGTAGTGCATATGAACTTTCCATTCTAGGATATGATTTTTTTCAAAACTTCATAGTAAAAGTTTTAGCCGTAAAAGGAGTTCCTATGGGAAATTATATTGGGTGAAAAAAGAGAACATACAGAATTAAACCAAATTTGGTTTATCTCACAGATTTTAAAGAAATTAACTCAAATATGAAGTTTTATAAATATTTCATGAAGATTGAGAAAATCCTGGGCTTTAACTATGATGACTCAGCATAAATTCACAGTTTACAGTATGCATAGTTTACTTAAAGCCCTGAATGCAAAATAAATTCATAATATATGCATATTTGTAAGTTAAATTGTTTAGAAGTGCTTATATTTACTCTCCGCAGTCATTGAAACTCATAGATCCTTCCTGAATATTATTGGTGGGGTGTTTTTGTCCTGTCTATGACCCAAAAGTAAGTCGTAACGCCTCAATCTGCTCTTTTGTCACCGCGGCATAAAAAATACAAGCTAGAAATACAAAAATATCCCAACAAAACTTACAATAGTGTGTTCTATCCTCAATATGTACTAAATATTCCATATTGCTAGAAACAGCAGAATAATTAAGGAAATTTGAGGCCCCAGGGGCAAAAAACAGAGAAAATTGCCTACCCACTGGGTCATAAACAAATAATTTAACTTGTAAATGCTATGATTTTATGATTTTAAAGGTCTTTATATAGAAAACAATAACTGTGCTTGGAAGTTATGCAAAAATTAGATGTAAGCAGTCATTTCTATAAAATTTTAAGTGAATTTATACATCAGACTGGTATCTGCATACATACAACTATTGCAGATATGGCTTTGTTTTAACACTTCTAGCTCATATATTAGCTAAATTATGTCAGATATATGGTTAGAGATGATACTGTTGTAACAAGAATTCTAAACTGACCATTTGAGGCAGAAATTGTGAACTTTCATTGACAAATAGGCATACAGTAAAATGTGGACTGGAGACACAGACAGGATTTGATACTTTATATAATCTTGAATGTTGGAATGATTGACTGCTAAACATAACATTTACAGTATTCTTAAATGCTTTCAATATGTTATCAGAACAGTTTTAAACAGGTTCTAGGCATTTCATGTCAGAAAATATGCAAATAGGGTAAGCTGGCAATAATTAGTCTTGTTTTCAAATTCTTTAAAAAATTGAAACAGGGGAGGGGGTATCAAATGAACAGTAAAAGAACACTTAGTTTATGCAGTGATTTCCTTAAGGCTATAATTCTGATAAATAAGTATTAATGTGAGAAAAAGTTTTTTAGAGAGTTTTCTATTGGAATAAATGTTTATATAGGTTGCACTTTGTAAATACAGCTGTTTCTCAAACCACGCCTCTTTTGGGGAGATATAGAATATTCATAGATAATTAATTTTGTTTAAATACTGGTTCCCAGTTATGATCTCTAGGTTTCATCTGATAGAGACATAACTTGGGAATGTTACCAGTAAATATACATATGCATATTGTCTATATAGAAATCTGTGGTAATCCTACAGTCAAGGTAGGGATAGTTAAGAAATTTAGTGTTAGTTTATACTCTTAGAAGTTCGGGCATATAAACGTTGAAAATATTCCGCACAGCCCTATATTTTGACCTTTGAAAAAAATTGTAGTGCATATGAACTTTCCATTCTAGGATATAATTTTTTTCAAAACTTCATAGTAAAAGTGGTACAGTTTTAGCCGTAAAAGGAGTTCCTATTGGAAATTGCCTTGTCAATATTTACAGAAATGCAACCTATACAAAGGAAAAACAATTACATTTCTGTGTATAAGTGCATGTTGGCCAAATATATCGTAAAAACATAAAAAAGACTGGCCCTTGGTCATGTTGGATACTTACACTTATCTGAAGCTCTACACTGATCAGTTTTATTCTTGCTTATTTAACTACCAAATACTCTTGGTTTAATAGAAACGTCATTGCATTTTAATTATCTCAATTCACTGGAACATAAAACTTCACACACTTAGCCTATGTGAAATTTTACAAAATCATCGCAACAGGGATGGGGTAATTGAAAATGTAATGGTAATTAAGTGTAATGCATTACAATTTTCCATGTAATTGAATGTAATGTGTAATTGAGCATTTTTTTTAATTACATGTAATGGTAATTTAATTAGTTACAATGAAAAAAGCATGTAATGCTAAATTACTTTTGAATTACATTTCAATTACATGTACTTTTATGGTGTTAATGCTAAATTAATATCAGGTACATACTTTTTTAATACACAAAGTCTTATAAAATCTGAAGTTTTTATATTATTTATTTGACATACAGAATTATTTGTTTAATAGTCTTATAATTTAAAACAAAATGTGTAAACATTGTTGAATAATCTTTCTTAGACATTACATTTAGAATTTTAAATCACTGCACACAATCATTTTGTCAAATTAGTATACACAAAAGGATTATATAAATAAAAATTAACAGCTGTAAAAACACACAGCAATTAATCAGATTAAAATGTGTAATAAAACAGCCTAGGGACAATGCCACTTTTACATGTATTTTATCTAATTAGCAAAATATTGCTTATATTCAGACATTATACATTGTTTGTACTAAATATCAAATAAATTAAACTAAATATTGTGTGTGACGAGCATACTTTTTTATATTTGTAAAGTAAAAAAAAAATTGTTTTTTTATTTATTTATAATTTCTTTATTTATATTATGTTTGATTATATGAATTCATTTCCAAGATGTCAAATTACCCCTTAATTTAAAGGCAAGTAAATAGGAACAAATTCCCTCTTCTATCAAGTTATCAACACATCTTCTGATCTAGCTATATCTACCACATTAGCTCCTGTCGAAAGTCTATTTTGAATTGCTGGCAAAGTGTTCAGACCAGAGAGATGCAGACTAACTGACAAAACATTAAAACTATTAATGATGATCAAATGCAATGCTTAAACTATGTTGTAAGCTTACATGAATATTTTACACATGTGCTATATATGATATTGTTTAAAAAAAGTATGATGAAATGTAATGTGTAATTTAATTAATTACTTTAGTAAAGTAATTGTAATTTAATTAATTACTTTTCAAAAACTGTGTAATGGTAATTAGTGTAATTGATCATTTTAGCAATGTAATGTGTAATTTAATTAATTACATTCTAATGTAATTGACCCCAAGTCTGCATCGCAAGATATTTTGCAACTACTATATCGTTAGAAAATTAATATACATATAAAATCAATGTAATTACCTATGGACACTGGATTTTTCTTTTCTTATTAACAGGATTTTTGCAGTCCGTTTTGTCGACTCGACTAAATTTTGTACAATTGTATTGCTTGGCAGATCACAAAATGTGTGCGCCCACTTATTAAATTAGAAAGCAGTGTTTAACGGAACTATGTGTATCACCGTTTTCTTGCAAATATACGGAATATAAAATTCTGTGAATGGTAGAGGCCTGAAAAGAAACTAAACTATGTTCCTAAACTAGGACATTTTTCCGTTTCATAAAACTGTAGTGGTATTTTTTATCAGTACTTTCGTTTTTGGCATTAAGTACAGTGCAGAAAAAATCTTCACTAAATTATAAATGATGTCAAATTCCAATCATACTGTTCTCTACAACTTTTTTGTACAAACTGTTCATTATGTAAACCGAATGCAAACATAAAAACAAGTATTTAAATCTTATTCTACTGCATTCAGCGTTAAGTTTTTCTACCTGTAAAAACAGAAATTTGTTGTGTCAAATATTTTTTGTTCGTTTTAAAGCGTTCATAATTCCTTTTTGATACACACAATAACACAAAATAAGTTCTAGACTTCCAATGGAGTACTACCATAGTATCGTTTGCTTTGTCTACCATACATTTCTTAAAACTCTACAAACCAAATTAGGCGGCGGAACGACCCAATAGTTCGCCTTTCCAGTTTTGTATAAAAAATATTTACTGTCCTTTACATTTTCAACAAAACTTTTAATTGATATAATTGTACATTTCGTGTTATAGTTCAAAATCTTTCAAAATAGATAAAAGAAGATATGGTATTAGTGCCAATGAGACAACTCTCCAGCCAAATCACAATATGTAAAAGTAAACCATTAAAGTATGATTACCCAATAATCTGTCTAAGTTTAAAAAATCTTCAGTTCTGATACCCTAGTTACTGCAATCAGATTTTCATTAAGATTCACGGACACTTTATTTTTGTCTCTTTTGTATCCATTTATACCGTTGTATGACATTACTTCTTAAAGCATAAAGTGTTAAATCCATGTGCAATCTAAAATTTTTAGGTTTTTTTCTACTTCCGTTATTGACTATGTTAGTTACCTATGCGAGTTTAGAAATCACACTTGTAACGAAATGTCCATAGTCTCTTTGAGATTTGTTATTGGCAAAAAAATACATTATCTGTCGG